TTCGTGCTCCCCCTTCTCTCTCGTCGTCCACTTCTCTCTTGTCGTCCCCTTCTCCCTCGTCTCCCCCGCACCAGCCTCTCTTCCTGCGTGCGCAGGGCCGCTCACGTCCATGGGCTTCCTCGCTGCTGTTGCCGAGCTCCACGGGCGCTCAGTTCATCTGCAATCTGTCCAAACATGCGCTCCTCCTTCACGCGCTTCTGCTGCTTCACCTCCAGGACCAGGTCCAGGCTGCTGGCCGGGACAGCATGCGCTTGTTGGCACCGCTGGAGGCGTTGGTGGTGGAGATGGTGCGCGACGTCAGCGACAGAGGGATTCCTGTCTTCAGTTTTGCCGAGGACAAGTCCAGAGCCTCCAGCGTCTGCTCCGTGCTCGCGCTGAGGATCCTGAGTGTTTGGGGAAAAGAGGCCGAGGGCCTCGCTGTGATGGTCGAACACCTGCGACACTGTGGTGTAGGTCAGGCTGCTGAGCGCCGGCACGTTGGTCTGGATGCGCACTGGGACCAGAGCAGACTGGGGTGCGGCAGCTGCGGGAAAACACCCGTGGAGAAAATGGGGAAACTGCGCGTCAGAAGGTGCGCCACGGTGGACTCTGTGTTCACAGGCTCCTGCCTCACGAAGCTCCGCTTCTCGTTAAGTCGAGTCTCAGTCGCGGACTCGGGTCCAGATTGCCGCAGTCGAAGGACACGCTGCGGACCTCGGGCAGCTCTCTGCGCTGGTGACACGGCGCCTGCTCCGACGCTGAGCGCCGCATCTCGTTCTGTTGTCGCTGATGCAGTAACGACAGAGTGCCGCTGTTCGGCACGGACAGCAGCTCCTTCCCACAGTCGTCCTGCGCCCGGCCGCCGTCCTCGCGCGAGTCGCAGGAGAACGAGGAGCTGTAGGTGGAGCTGTAAGACAGGTTGCTGTCCTGGCTCGGGCTGCGGGACAGAGAGGTGCATGCCGACTCGAAGCTGGACTCTCCGGACGAGTGCTCCATCATCCGCCAGGCGGAGCCTCTTCTTTCTTTGGGGCAGTTTCTCTGGAGGAACTGAGCTAATGTCTCGCTGCGCTGAGGCCACTGGAACTCCTCCACCACCTGCTTCTCTGGTTCTTTGGCGGGGGTTTCCGGAGCCTTCTCTGGACTGTCTGGTTCCACGGTCCACCCGGATCTCTGGGACCTGGATGTTGGGTTGGCGGACGAGCTTGGGCCCCATCTGTATAGACTGTCGCAGTTTGCCGTCACCTCTCTCCATCTCGGGGCCGTCGCTGGCCTCCAGAGCGAGATAGTACGGGCTGCTGTGATAGGTCAGTTCCATGTGGCCGCGGCTCAGGGAGTTGGTGTGTTGTATCACGGAGATGACGTTGCCAAGAGTCTTTCTCGTTGATATTTCTGCACTGACAGTTACGTACCATCTCACACCACAGATCCTTGCCCTTGCTCTCGTACCGACCCTGCGACTCTTCCTCCTTCTCCTTGCGGCGTTTGCGCGTGGCGAGCTCCAGGCGCCTGTCGTGGTAGCTGGTGTGCGGCGGTGTGGATGGGTAGTTCTCCATCTCCGTCACTTAAGAAATCGCTGAGTTTCCCGTGAGCTTCGTCTGCATGTGTGTCGTGGGACAGTTCGAAGGCCGCTTGCCTGCGTAGCCTCCGGGCGCCTCCTGAGCTCGTGCGCCTCGTCAAAGAGTGGCTGCCTCTCAGCGCGGGCGCCGTCTGCGCCGCGGTGGTGCACGACGTGGGCATGGAGTTGCTCCTCATCAGCAACAGCCCCAGGTCTGCGTCCGGCTGTAGCTCTTCTTCTCCCATGAAGTGTTGATCCTAATGGACGTCCGCTCCGTCCTTCTCCTGCGTATAAACCCGCGACAAACGCTTCTCTCCGAGCCCTCGCTCCCAAACCCCTGCTTGGGACTCGGCCTGTAGCACTTCCCAAACATGATTTCTTGATATGACTTAGCGTTAGCGTTGGGCGGGCCCGGCTGGTGCTCCGAGCTCTCCGAGCGAGAGAAGTATCCGGAGTCCGTGCTGCCTTTGCTGGACTGACTCGGGAGTGACAGGTTGTGCTCAGAGTCGCTGCTGCGCTTCTCCGACAGCCGCAGCGCTAACCTCTGCTTGACGGCGCTGGAGGGGAGATGCTCCTGCTGCTCCTGCTGCTCCTGCTGCTCCTGCACGGCCAAAGGAGCCATCGTCGTTCCCCTCTTGTGCGAGATGAGGCTAAGGACTTTGACGGCCGTGTGGGCAGAGCCCGTGGCGTCCAGCAGCAGCAGAGGGTCACTTCTCGGCGCCTCGTCCTCAGAGTCCGAGGTCTGGTCTCCATCTGAGAAGTCTCCTTCGAACGAGCCGTGCTCCGAGCCGGTCCCCGCCACGGCCCCCCCGCCTTCGCCAGGTGAGCGTGTGACTTGCGGTGTTTGTACAGATTGCTTTTGGTCTTGAAGGAGAAGCCGCAGGGGGCGCAGGGGTACGGGCGCTCCCCCGTGTGCGAGCGGATGTGTCTTCTTCAGGACACTGGGCTTCGCGCACAGCCCTGCCCGCAGTAATCCGGCACACGTACCTGCCTGGTTTAGGCGGTCTCTGCTCTGGTCTCTGCTCTGGTCTCTGCTCTGGTCTCTGCTCTGGTCTCTGCTCTGGTCTCTGCTCTGGTCTCTGCTCTGGTCTCTGCTCTGGTTCCAGACCTGGGCTGGGACTCGGGGTTTGGACCCTCCTCATCCTTCTTGTCTGTGCTCTGGTTTTCATGGAGATGTCTAGACTTGGACTTTTTGGGAGGTAGATTTCTGCCTGGTACCTCTCTAAGCGGTGGTGGCGGTGGCGGCGGTGGTGGCGGTGGCGGCGGTGGCGGCGGTGGCGGCGGTAGGAGCGGGGTCTCAGGAGAATGCATGGCTCTAAAAGGTGGCGTTTCGAGGACGGTCTTGTTACGTGACAAAGATGTTGACTCTGGTGTGGACTGACGTCACTGAAGGGTCTGGAAACAAGAGAGAGACCTGAGGATCCAATCACAGCAGAGGACTCTACTCTACTCTACTCTACTTACTTGGTAACCCACTAAAGCAGGTCTAAAGCAGGACAAAAGCAGGACTAAAGCAGGACTAAAGCAGGACTAAATCAGGACTAAAGCAGGACTAAAGCAGGACTAAAGCAGGACTAAAGCAGGTCTAAAGCAGGTCTAAAGCAGGACTAAAGCAGGACTAAAGCAGGTCTAAAGCAGGTCTAAAGCAGGACTAAAGCAGGTCTAAAGCAGGACTAAAGCAGGACTAAAGCAGGTCTAAAGCAGGACTAAAGCAGGTCTAAAGCAGGACTAGAGGCAGGCCTAAAGCAGTCTAAAGCAGGTCTAAAGCAGGACTAAAGCAGGACTAAAGCAGGACTAAAGCAGGACTAAATCAGGACTAAAGCAGGACTAAAGCAGGACTAAATCGCCGGGACTAAAGCAGGACTAAAGCAGCTGACTAAAGCAGGTCTAAAGCAGGACTAAAGCAAGGACTAAAGCAGGTTTAAAGCAGGACTAAAGCAGGTCTAAAGCAGGTCTAAAGCAGGACTAAAGCAGGACTAAAGCAGACTAAAGCAGGACTAAAGCAGGACTAAAGCAGGACTAAAGCAGGTCTAAAGCAGATCTAAAGCAGGTCTAAAGCAGGTCTAAAGCAGGACTAAAGCAGGTCTAGAGCAGGACTAAAGCGGCACGGTGGCTGAGGTGGATAGCACTCTCGCCTCTCAGCAAGAAGGTCCTGGGTTTCGAATCCCGGCCGGCACCAGGGCCTTTCTGAGTGGAGTTTGCATTTCTCCCCGTGTCTGCGTAGGTTTCCTCCAGGTAGTACTCCGGTTTTCCCCTACCACTAAAAAATATGTACAATAGTTCTGGCATGCGCCTCCTGTTCGCGACCCCACTCCCCCAGACTCTGTGTGGAGTGAGAGGACAAGTGCCCAAAAAAATAACAATTGTAAACCGCTTTGTGACTCTGGTCTGTGAAAGGCGGTATATAAATAAAGCTTACTTACTTACTTACTAAAGCAGGACTAAAGCAGGTCTAAAGCAGGACTAAAGCAGGTCCTAAAGCAGGACTAAAGCAGGTCTAAAGCAGGACTAGAGCAGGTCCCTAAAGCAGGACTAAAGCAGGTTAAAGCAGGACTAAAGCAGGTTTAAAGCAGGACTAAAGCAGGTTTAAAGCAGGTCTAAAAGCAGGTCTAAAAGCAGGACTAAACAGGTTAAAGCAGACTAAAGCAGGTTAAAGCAGGACTAAAGCAGGTTTAAAGCAGGACTAAAGCAGGACTAAAGCAGGTTTAAAGCAGGACTAAAGCAGGTTTAAAGCAGGACTAAAGCAGGTTTAAAGCAGGACTAAAGCAGGACTAAAGCAGGACTAAAGCAGGTTTAAAGCAGGTTAAAGCAGGACTAAAGCAGGACTAAAGCAGGTTTAAAGCAGGACTAAAGCAGGTTTAAAGCAGGACTAAAGCAGGTTTAAAGCAGGACTAAAGCAGGACTAAAGCAGGACTAAAGCAGGTTTAAAGCAGGTTTAAAGCAGGACTAAAGCAGGTTTAAAGCAGGACTAAAGCAGTTTAAAGCAGGACTAAAGCAGGTCTAAAGCAGGACGTAAAGCAGGTCTAAAGCAGGACTAAAGCAGGACTAAAGCAGGACTAAAGCAGGTCTAAAGCAGGACTAAAGCAGGTCTAAAGCAGGACTAAAACAGGACTAAAGCAGGACTAAAGCAGGTTTAAAGCAGGTTAAAGCAGGACTAAAGCAGGTTTAAAGCAGGACTAAAGCAGGTTTAAAGCAGGACTAAAGCAGGTCTAAAGCAGGACTAAAGCAGGACTAAAGCAGGTTTAAAGCAGGTTTAAAGCAGGACTAAAGCAGGTTTAAAGCAGGACTAAAGCAGGTTTAAAGCAGGACTAAAGCATGTTAAAGCAGGACTAAAGCAGATCTAAAGCAGGACTAAAGCAGGACTAAAGCAGGTCTAAAGCAGGACTAAAGCAGGTCTAAAGCAGGACTAAAGCAGGACTAAAGCAGTCTAAAGCAGGACTAAAGCAGGACTAAAGCAGGTCTAAAAGCAGGACTAAAGCAGGTCTAAAGCAGGTCTAAAGGCAGGTCTAAAGCAGGTCTAAAGCAGGTCTAAAGCAGGACTAAAGCAGGACTAAAGCAGGTCTAAAGCAGACCTAAAGCAGGACTAAAGCAGACCTAAAGCAGGTCTAAAGCAGGTCTAAAGCAGGACTAAAGCAGGTCTAAAGCAGGACTAAAGCAGGTCTAAAGCAGACCTAAAGCAGGACTAAAGCAGGTCTAAAGCAGGACTAAAGCAGGTCTAAAGCAGGACTAAAGCAGGTCTAAAGCAGGACTAAAGCAGGTCTAAAGCAGGACTAAAGCAGGTCTAAAGCAGGTCTAAAGCAGGTCTAAAGCAGGTCTAAAGCAGGTCTAAAGCAGGTCTAAAGCAGGACTAAAGCAGGACTAAAGCAGGACTAAAGCAGGACTAAAGCCGGTCTAAAGCAGGTCTAAAGCAGGTCTAAAGCAGACCTAAAGCAGGACTAAAGCAGGACTAAAGCAGGTCTAAAGCAGGTCTAAAGCAGGACTAAAGCAGGTCTAAAGCAGGACTAAAGCAGGACTAAAGCAGGACTGAAGCAGGTCTAAAGCAGGACTAAAGCAGGTCTAAAGCAGGACTAAAGCAGGACTAAAGCAGGTCTAAAGCAGGACTAAAGCAGGACTAAAGCAGGACTAAAGCAGGACTAAAGCCGGTCTAAAGCCGGTCTAAAGCAGGTCTAAAGCAGACCTAAAGCAGACCCAAAGCTGGACTAAAGCAGGACTAAAGCAGGACTAAAGCAGGACTAAAGCAGGTCTAAAGCAGACCTAAAGCAGGACTAAAGCAGGACTAAAGCAGGTCTAAAGCAGGACTAAAGCAGGACTAAAGCAGGTCTAAAGCAGGACTAAAGCAGGACTAAAGCAGGTCTAAAGCAGGACTAAAGCAGGTCTAAAGCAGGTCTAAAGCAGGTCTAAAGCAGGACTAAAGCAGGTCTAAAGCAGGTCTAAAGCAGGACTAAAGCAGGTCTAAAGCAGGTCTAAAGCAGGTCTAAAGCAGGTCTAAAGCAGGTCTAAAGCAGGTCTAAAGCAGGACTAAAGCAGGACTAAAGCAGGACTAAAGCAGGATTAAAGTAGGACTAAAGCAGGACTAAAGCAGGTCTAAAGGAGGATTAAAGCAGGACTAAAGCAGGTCTAAAGCAGGACTAAAGCAGGACTAAAGCAGGTCTAAAGCAGGTCTAAAGCAGGTCTAAAGCAGGACTAAAGCAGGTCTAAAGCAGGTCTAAAGCAGGTCTAAAGCAGGACTAAAGCAGGACTAAAGCAGGTCTAAAGCAGGACTAAAGCAGGTCTAAAGCAGGACTAAAGCAGGTCTAAAGCAGGTCTAAAGCAGGACTAAAGCAGGACTAAAGCAGGACTAAAGCAGGATTAAAGTAGGACTAAAGCAGGTTTAAAGTAGGACTAAAGCAGGACTAAAGCAGGACTAAAGCAGGACTAAAGCAGGACTAAAGCAGGACTAAAGCAGGATTAAAGTAGGACTAAAGCAGGACTAAAGCAGGACTAAAGCAGGACTAAAGCAGGATTAAAGTAGGACTAAAGCAGGATTAAAGTAGGACTAAAGCAGGATTAAAGTAGGACTAAACCAGGACTAAAGCAGGACTAAAGCAGGTCTAAAGCAGGTCTAAAGCAGGTCTAAAGCAGGACTAAAGCAGGACTAAAGCAGGACTAAAGCAGGACTAAAGCAGGATTAAAGTAGGACTAAAGCAGGACTAAAGCAGGTCTAAAGGAGGATTAAAGCAGGACTAAAGCAGGTCTAAAGCAGGACTAAAGCAGGACTAAAGCAGGACTAAAGCAGGTCTAAAGCAGGTCTAAAGCAGGACTAAAGCAGGTCTAAAGCAGGTCTAAAGCAGGACTAAAGCAGGAATAAAGCAGGATTAAAGTAGGACTAAAGCAGGATTAAAGTAGGACTAAAGCAGGTCTAAAGCAGGACTAAAGCAGGTCTAAAGCAGGACTAAAGCAGGACTAAAGCAGGACTAAAGCAGGTCTAAAGCAGGTCTAAAGCAGGTCTAAAGCAGGACTAAAGCAGGACTAAAGCAGGTCTAAAGCAGGACTAAAGCAGGTCTAAAGCAGGACTAAAGCAGGTCTAAAGCAGGTCTTAAGCAGGACTAAAGCAGGACTAAAGCAGGACTAAAGTAGGACTAAAGCAGGACTAAAGCAGGTCTAAAGCAGGACTAAAGCAGGACTAAAGCAGGTCTAAAGCAGACCTAAAGCAGGACTAAAGCAGGACTAAAGCAGGTCTAAAGCAGGACTAAAGCAGGTCTAAAGCAGGACTAAAGCAGGTCTAAAGCAGACCTAAAGCAGGACTAAAGCAGGTCTAAAGCAGGACTAAAGCAGGTCTAAAGCAGGACTAAAGCAGGTCTAAAGCAGGACTAAAGCAGGTCTAAAGCAGGACTAAAGCAGGTCTAAAGCAGGTCTAAAGCAGGTCTAAAGCAGGTCTAAAGCAGGTCTAAAGCAGGACTAAAGCAGGACTAAAGCAGGACTAAAGCAGGACTAAAGCCGGTCTAAAGCAGGTCTAAAGCAGGTCTAAAGCAGACCTAAAGCAGGACTAAAGCAGGACTAAAGCAGGTCTAAAGCAGGTCTAAAGCAGGACTAAAGCAGGTCTAAAGTAGGTCTAAAGCAGGACTAAAGCAGGACTAAAGCAGGACTGAAGCTGGTCTAAAGCAGGACTAAAGCAGGTCTAAAGCAGGACTAAAGCAGGACTAAAGCAGGTCTAAAGCAGGACTAAAGCAGGACTAAAGCAGGACTAAAGCAGGACTAAAGCCGGTCTAAAGCCGGTCTAAAGCAGGTCTAAAGCAGACCTAAAGCAGACCCAAAGCAGGACTAAAGCAGGACTAAAGCAGGACTAAAGCAGGACTAAAGCAGGACTAAAGCAGGTCTAAAGCAGACCTAAAGCAGGACTAAAGCAGGACTAAAGCAGGTCTAAAGCAGGACTAAAGCAGGACTAAAGCAGGTCTAAAGCAGGACTAAAGCAGGACTAAAGCAGGTCTAAAGCAGGTCTAAAGCAGGACTAAAGCAGGTCTAAAGCAGGTCTAAAGCAGGTCTAAAGCAGGACTAAAGCAGGACTAAAGCAGGTCTAAAGCAGGACTAAAGCAGGTCTAAAGCAGGTCTAAAGCAGGTCTAAAGCAGGTCTAAAGCAGGTCTAAAGCAGGACTAAAGCAGGACTAAAGCAGGATTAAAGTAGGACTAAAGCAGGACTAAAGCAGGTCTAAAGGAGGATTAAAGCAGGACTAAAGCAGGTCTAAAGCAGGACTAAAGCAGGTCTAAAGCAGGTCTAAAGCAGGTCTAAAGCAGGTCTAAAGCAGGTCTAAAGCAGGTCTAAAGCAGGTCTAAAGCAGGTCTAAAGCAGGACTAAAGCAGGACTAAAGCAGGTCTAAAGCAGGACTAAAGCAGGTCTAAAGCAGGACTAAAGCAGGTCTAAAGCAGGTCTAAAGCAGGACTAAAGCAGGACTAAAGCAGGATTAAAGTAGGACTAAAGCAGGACTAAAGCAGGACTAAAGCAGGATTAAAGTAGGACTAAAGCAGGATTAAAGTAGGACTAAAGCAGGACTAAAGCAGGACTAAAGCAGGACTAAAGCAGGACTAAAGCAGGACTAAAGCAGGATTAAAGTAGGACTAAAGCAGGACTAAAGCAGGACTAAAGCAGGATTAAAGTAGGACTAAAGCAGGATTAAAGTAGGACTAAAGCAGGATTAAAGTAGGACTAAACCAGGACTAAAGCAGGACTAAAGCAGGTCTAAAGCAGGACTAAAGCAGGTCTAAAGCAGGTCTAAAGCAGGTCTAAAGCAGGTCTAAAGCAGGACTAAAGCAGGACTAAAGCAGGACTAAAGCAGGATTAAAGTAGGACTAAAGCAGGACTAAAGCAGGTCTAAAGGAGGATTAAAGCAGGACTAAAGCAGGTCTAAAGCAGGACTAAAGCAGGACTAAAGCAGGACTAAAGCAGGTCTAAAGCAGGTCTAAAGCAGGACTAAAGCAGGTCTAAAGCAGGTCTAAAGCAGGACTAAAGCAGGAATAAAGCAGGATTAAAGTAGGACTAAAGCAGGACTAAAGCAGGTCTAAAGGAGGACTAAAGCAGGACTAAAGCAGGTCTAAAGCAGGTCTAAAGCAGGACTAAAGCAGGACTAAAGCAGGTCTAAAGCAGGTCTAAAGCAGGTCTAAAGCAGGACTAAAGCAGGTCTAAAGCAGGACTAAAGCAGGTCTAAAGCAGGACTAAAGCAGGTCTAAAGCAGGTCTAAAGCAGGACTAAAGCAGGACTAAAGCAGGACTAAAGTAGGACTAAAGCAGGACTAAAGCAGGACTAAAGCAGGATTAAAGTAGGACTAAAGCAGGATTAAAGTAGGACTAAAGCAGGACTAAAGCAGGATTAAAGTAGGACTAAAGCAGGATTAAAGTAGGACTAAAGCAGGATTAAAGTAGGACTAAAGCAGGATTAAAGTAGGACTAAAGCAGGTCTAAAGCAGGACTAAAGCAGGACTAAAGCAGGATTAAAGTAGGACTAAAGCAGGATTAAAGTAGGACTAAAGCAGGATTAAAGTAGGACTAAAGCAGGATTAAAGTAGGACTAAAGCAGGATTAAAGTAGGACTAAAGCAGGATTAAAGTAGGACTAAAGCAGGTCTAAAGCAGGACTGAAGCCTAGTGTATACTTGCGCGGCGTGGCTTACGTTAGCGGTTGCGGTGGACCTACGTAAGCACAATTGATGTTATACTGGCGCGTTCCCCTTACGGAGTTTTGAGGAGAATGTTGTAATCCCACAACAAACCACATGAGGGCGATCACACAGGAGCGGTCCCATTTACGCTGCTACTTTGTCTATAGAGAGAAACTATCAGAGCTAGCCACACTCAGTAAACGCAAACGACAATCAATCAACATATTTAAATGTTAATGCTAGAATATATTATTCATACAATACACGTGCACAGAGGTTTTCAGAATTATCTGTTAAGGTTTTCATGACAAAAATACTTTTTTAATGCGACTAAAGCGATCGCTTTTTTAAAGTAGGTGAACTAAAACCTTTGGGAACTATTTTCTTTGCACTCATTAAATAAACCTTTTGGCATGAATAGTGACAGAAGTTTATTTTGTGTGTTCAGTTGGTACAAAGCCGTATAATAAGCGGACCCCGACGCGCTTCGTCTGTGCTTATTTTCCGATAGTCACGAAGTTGGTGTGAGAATTGTATACATTCTGGATTAGGACAAACAATACTAATATGGATTGATGGGGCTAACTACATTCAGAAGAGCTCAGACGGACCTGATACAGCGGTCCAGGTCCAGTCCCAGCTAAACGTAGCTAGGACTGGATCTGGATACTCCACAGTTGGTCCAGCGAAGTGTTTTGAAAAAACATGTCCTTTTTAACATTTTCATGAGAGAAATTCTGCTGACCACAAGCACCCACCTCTTGCACTTGTCCTGGTCTGGTCCTGGTCTGGTTCGATGGTGTGGTTTAACGAACAGGTTGAATGTTACTGCTTTCATATAGTCCTGTCCTTTTCAGAGTATCTGAAATCGCTCCCACAAGCACCATAACTGCAGTGTTTTGTTGTCACCATGATTCAATGATTTAGCCCAAATAAATACACACGCTTATGTGGAGAACACAGTAGAACTCAACGGAGTCGGACAGAGTTTGTCCGAAACATGCGCGCATGCGCAGTCATTGGAACTATTTTTAGCACATTTCGGAAACCGGACAGTGCCCTATCACAGCGGAACTTCTCTCACACACGGACCAATCACAGCGGAGTTTCTCTCACACACGAACCAATCACAGCGGAGCTTCCTTGCGGCGACCCTTACGTAGTTAGAAAATGTTGATGCTGCGCGGCAGGCGGCGTAAGGGCCTTGGGGTGACCAACGCGTTGACCAAGTGACGTCACGTCACCTCCGTAAGCTCCGCGCGAGTATAAACTAGGCTTAAAGCCGGTCTAAACTCACCAGTACATGAGCCACAGTTGGGGCCAGTCTCCCCAGAGTCCCCTCAGGAGCCTTCAGAACCTCAAAACTGAACCTTAGAGCTCTGCGCAGGATCCTCCTCAAGACCAACCTGAAACAGAATAAAGACCAGGTCTGAACCAGGTCTGGACCCCGTCTGGACCCGGTCTGGACCTGGTCTGCAGCAGGACTCACTCGGCCCCGGTCATGCCTGGGTGGACTCCGTCAGCGATGCACACGGCTAAAGTCCTGATGTGATCCACAACCACACGGTACGCTGTGTCCCGGGGACCCAGGCCCCCATGGTACGGGGCCCCTCCTGTCAACTGAGACCAGAGACCAGGTGAGACCAGAGAGATACCAGAGACCAGGTAAGACCAGAGACCAGAGAGAGACCAGGGAGAGACCAGAGAGAGACCAGAGAGAGAGACCAGAGAGAGACCAGAGAGAGAGACCAGAGAGAGAGACCAGAGAGAGACCAGAGAGAGAGACCAGAGAGAGAGGCCAGAGAGAGACCAGAGAGAGAGAGACCAGAGAGAGACACCAGAGAGAGAGACCAGAGAGAGACCAGAGAGAGAGACCAGAGAGAGACCAGAGAGAGACCAGAGAGAGAGACCAGAGAGAGAGGCCAGAGAGAGACCAGAGAGAGAGAGACCAGAGAGAGACACCAGAGAGAGAGACCAGAGAGAGAGACCAGAGAGAGAGACCAGAGAGAGAGACCAGAGAAAGACCAGAGAGAGAGACCAGAGAGAGAGACCAGAGAGAGACCAGAGAGAGACCAGAGAGAGAGACCAGAGAGAGACCAGAGAGAGACCAGAGAGAGACCAGAGAGAGAGACCAGAGAGAGAGACCAGAGAGAGACCAGAGAGAGACCAGAGAGAGGCCAGAGAGAGAGACCAGAGAGAGAGAGACCAGAGAGAGACACCAGAGAGAGAGACCAGAGAGAGAGACCAGAGAAAGACTAGAGAGAGAGACCAGAGAGAGAGACCAGAGAGAGACCAGAGAGAGACCAGAGAGAGAGACCAGAGAGAGACCAGAGAGAGGCCAGAGAGAGACCAGAGAGAGAGAGACCAGAGAGAGAGACCAGAGAGAGAGACCAGAGAAAGACCAGAGAGAGAGACCAGAGAGAGAGAGACCAGAGAGAGACCAGAGAGAGACCAGAGAGAGACCAGAGAGAGACCAGAGAAAGACCAGAGAGAGACCAGAGAGAGACCAGAGAGAGACCAGAGAGAGAGACCAGAGAGTACCCTGTGTGGAAGTACCATGTGTGCCCTGAGCTCACCTGGTGCAGCCACAGCAGCAGAGGAGAGAACAGGTCTGTGTCGTAGTTTGAAGATTTCTTCTGTAAAACGGAGACGAGTCGCTCCAGTCCCAGACCTGTGTCCACACTGCGGAAGGGGAGGGGCCAGAGGGCGCCATCGGGCTGTCTGGGCCAATCACAGAGCAGAGAGAGAGCAGAGAGAGAGAGACCGATTAGGGAGTCCTGGTATCTTTCTGGTCTTGGTCTCTGTCTCTGGTCTGTCTCTGGTCTGTCTCTGTCTCTGGTCTGTCTCTGGTCTGTCTCTGGTCTGTCTCTGGTCTGTCTCTGGTCTGTCTCTGGTCTGTCTCTGGTCTGTCTCTGGTCTGTCTCTGTCTCTGGTCGGTCTCTGGTCTGTCTCTGTCTCTGGTCTGTCTCTGGTCTCTCTCTGGTCTGTCTCTGGTCTGTCTCTGGTCTGTCTCTGGTCTGTCTCTGGTCTGTCTCTGGTCTGTCTCTGGTCTGTCTCTGGTCTGTCTCTGGTCTGTCTCTGGTCTGTCTCTGGTCTGTCTCTGGTCTGTCTCTGGTCTGTCTCTGGTCTGGTCTCTGGTCTGTCTCTGGTCTGTCTCTGGTCTGTCTCTGGTCTGTCTCTGGTCTGTCTCTGGTCTGTCTCTGGTCCAAGTACCTGCTGTGCTCCATGAAGACCAGGTTCCATAGTTCCAGGACCAGCGGGTCTCTGTTGACCAGGGCAGAGGCGTCTCGGTCTCCTCTCAGGTCCAGGTGGATCTCAGAGCACGGACCACAGGGACCGGTCTCCCCCATCTCCCAGAAGTTCTCCTGTAGACCGAAGGGGAGGACCCGAGAGGAGGGCAGGCTGAGGAGAGACCAGGTGAGACCATGTGAGACCGGGAGAGAGACCAGAGAGAGACCAGAGAGGAGAGACCAGAGCAGTAGCGGCGCCAGGTTTTCAATTATGGGTAGGCCTGCACAGGACTGGACTGGGACAAAATGGCCCGGGCATTTTTTCCTTCTTAGTGGCCCAGGCAACTCAAAAGGTTCAAGGAGCCATATTTGACAAAAAAAACAAAAAAACAGTGTTGTATAAGGCTTATATAGGTAACAGGGGCTGAAGCTGTATTAGCTACATTAGCTACCTTAGCTACATTAGCTACATTAGCTACCTTAGCTACCTTAGCTACATTAGCTACCTTAGCTACCTTAGCTACATTAGCTACCTTAGCTACCTTAGCTACCTTAGCTACCTTAGCTACATTAGCTACCTTAGCTACCTTAGCTACCTTAGCTACCTTAGCTACCTTAGCTACCTTAGCTACCTTAGCTACATTAGCTACATTAGCTACCTTAGCTACCTTAGCTACATTAGCTACATTAGCTACCTTAGCTACCTTAGCTACATTAGCTACCTTAGCTACCTTAGCTACATTAGCTACATTAGCTACATTAGCTACATTAGCTACCTTAGCTACATTAGCCTAATATCTAAATGACAAAGTAAAGGCTAAACACATAAAAACCATTCATGATTATCAAATGTGTGTTTTCATTGCAGCGTGTCCTGAGAGAATGATTCACCACGTGACAACTCTGCTTTAACTTTAACCTTCATGCAATTGTACAAATAGAGTAAATAAATCTGCTTTTTGTCTCCGAGTTCACCTGCATCACTGTCTGTTCATATCCATCACAGGCTGAAGTTTGCTGGAGCTGAATGTCCTTAACGGCCCTTTCTTTCACCGTCTTTGAGAAGGTTTTTGAAGTCTGAAAATAGGTGCTCTGACTTTATGATGAATGAATGTTTCAGTGAACAGTGTTTAAAGCTTCATTCTTTTAACTTTTCATTACATTACAAACATGAAGCAGTCCTTCCTCAGAGACTGAAAGCAAATGTTCATTCTCATTCTTAGTCCAGTCTTATCGACTCTCTTTATCTCTGGGATCCATGCGCACACACAGTCTATAATGTTTGTTTACAGCAGCAGCCCCTGGCACGGGCCGCGTCACAGGATATGATGCACTACGTTGACAGAAATGCTAAAATTAAATATTACTTATACAAGTTTTTACAGCATTGAAAAACGTTAAGAATGTTTTTCCTCCTACAGAAACCACATTCAAACTAGAAATAAAATATAGCCCTCACACTCCATTTTCAGACATTTTTGAAAAGGCTCCAGGAGCCACTTTAGGGGCACTAAAGGTTGACCCCTGGTTTATACAGTATGTGGAAGCAAATACTGTAGAGGACCAGGATGTCTGCAGTTTCAACAATAAAACAAAGTACAATAGTCTACATTAAACAGAGTAATAAACATGTCTCAGAGTGAGGGAGGTGGACACAGACAATACTATTGTTTGTTACAGGGATGAGAATTGGTAACATTTCTGAAATACATATTGTCAGCCATTAGCTGGCTCTAAATCTGTTTAATCTGTTCACAACATTTTACTTTTGGGCTCAAACATGAACTTTTAATGCAATGGAAAATGTAGGTACCCGAGCTTTAATTTAGAGGAGAGGGGAGACGCGGACTGTTTCCTGCAGCGGTGTATTTATTGGGTGCACAAATTACGAAAAGACACGCATGGTCCTGTGCGTTTATGGTCTTGGGTACATGGTCACGCTGCGGCTACGCGCTCACCGTGTTGTGTTGTGAGCGGTTCCTGCGTCCAGCTCAGAGCCGCTGGATGCGGGAACACTGCGGCCGCTGAGGTGGTGGAATCCCGTTCGAGTACATACAGCAGGTGCCCCGCGGACACGCGCGCTCCCCTCAAACAGTTCTCAACGGATTTACACTTTTCACAAACATGTTTTTGTATGAGGCAGACAGACCGGCCCAAATATGGGCATCGGCCCTTCTGGCATTGCCCGGTACGCCCGATGGCCAGTCCAGCCCTGGTCCTGCAGATTAGTAAGTAGGTCCAGAGAGAGAGACCAGAGAGAGACCAGAGAGAGACCAGAGAGAGACCAGAGGGAGACCAGAGGGAGACCAGAGAGAGACCAGAGAGAGACCAGAAAGAGACCAGAGAGAGACCAGAGACATTTATATAAATATAAAGAATTGCAGATGTTACCCCAGCTGCAGCCAGACCTCTCTGGTCTCCAGGTCTGGTCCCAGTCCGGTCTCTGGGTCTCCACTGAAGTAGGACACGTAGAGTCTGTCTGCAGGGATCTGGTAGACCTCAGTCAGGAGGGTCCAGGCCCAGGAGCAGGCCTCCTCCTGAAGAACCAGAAACACACAGGACTAGTGTTAGACCTGAGGGACCAGGACCAAGGGACTAGAGGTTAGACCTGAGGGACCAGGACCAAGGGACTAGAGGTTAGACCTGAGGGACCAGGACCAAGGGACTAGAGTTAGACCTGAGGGACCAGGACCAAGGGACTAGAGGTTAGACCTGAGGGACCAGGACCAAGGGACTAGAGGTTAGACCTGAGGGACCAGGACCAAGGGACTAGAGTTAGGCCTGAGGGACCAGGACCAAGGGACTAGAGTTAGGCCTGAGGGACCAGGACCGAGGGACTAGAGGTTAGACCTGAGGGACCAGGACCAAGGGACTAGAGGTTAGACCTGAGGGACCAGGACCAAGGGACTAGAGGTTAGACCTGAGGGACCAGGACCAAGGGACTAGAGTTAGACCTGAGGGACCAGGACCAAGGGACTAGAGGTTAGACCTGAGGGACCAGGACCAAGGGACTAGAGGTTAGACCTGAGGGACCAGGACCAAGGGACTAGAGGTTAGACCTGAGGGACCAGGACCAAGGGACTAGAGTTAGACCTGAGGGACCAGGACCAAGGGACTAGAGTTAGACCTGAGGGACCAGGACCCAGGGACTAGAGTTAGACCTGAGGGACCAGGACCAAGGGACTAGAGTTAGACCTGAGGGACCAGGACCAAGGGACTAGAGTTAGACCTGAGGGACCAGGACCCAGGGACTAGAGTTAGACCTGAGGGACCAGGACCAAGGGACTAGAGGTTAGACCTGAGGGACCAGGACCAAGGGACTAGAGGTTAGACCTGAGGGACCAGGACCAAGGGACTAGAGTTAGGCCTGAGGGACCAGGACCAAGGGACTAGAGTTAGGCCTGAGGGACCAGGACCCAGGGACTAGAGTTAGACCTGAGGGACTAGAGACCAGACAGAGAGAGACCAGAGAGAGAGACCAGAGAGAGACCAGAGAGAGACCAGAGAGAGAGACCAGAGAGAGAGACCAGAGAGAGACCAGAGAGAGACCAGAGAGAGACCAGAGAGAGACCAGAGAGAGACTAGAGAGAGACCAGAGAGAGACCAGAGAGAGAGACCAGAGAGAGAGACCAGAGAGAGAGAGCAGAGAGAGACCAGAGAGAGACCAGAGAGAGACCAGAGAGAGACCAGGACATCTGAACATCCGGAGCATCATCTCCAAAAGAGAATCTCTGATCTCCTCTTGGACTTTAATCTAGAATCCTGTCTCCATAGCAACATCCCCATCCACACAGACCAACTCAGATCGGGTTTCCTTATCTGGACCTTGAATGTTCAGCTTTGAAAAGAACTCTGTCTCCAACTGTGAACTCCCACATTGTTTAAAGTCCTCCTTCTGGTACTGCTGGTTTGTGAGGAATCTGGTTTGGAAGGTAAAAAGTTGGACTCGTACAGAGAGACTTTATGGTCCGCTGACGTCAGTATAAGACTATATCCACACGAAGACAAAACGCTTATAATTTCAGAAACTTTTTCTGTAAACACGGAGTTAGCTCAGTAAATGTGTGCGTCCATATGAATGTAGTCAATACGCCTGAAAACGCTGTGAAACTATGCCAGACCTGTTGGTGGCGCTGTGACGCAATGACGGGATCAAGCCCAAACTTCCGTGACGGGAACTGGGCATGCGCAGAATTTTGTAAACAGACAACATGGCGAGTGGGCGAGCTGGTACTACATTAGTATGGACGGACGATGAGGTTGAACTGTTGCTTCGGGTCACACTGGATTACAAAACCAACAAGCTACATTGTTGTTGTCATTATTTTCTGAGTGCGGCGCATGCGTGCTTTAACAAGAGGCGGGGCGATGACGCAAGCGTCTCAGATACACTGCGGAGAGGCAGTAACCACGGAGCGGCATATACGGAGTTTTGAAATCTTTCCACTCTGGGACCTACTTTCAAAAATGTTCGTTTACACCCCCCCAAAACGCCGGCCTCGTATGGACCATACACTGGATTGATAAAGTATTTTTGCGTTTAGGCCTGAGCTTGACTTCGTGTGGACAGGGCCTTAGTCTGACAGGATCACCAGACGGACCAGACAGACCAGACAGACCAGACGGACCAGACGGACCAGACAGACCAGACAGACCAGACGGACCAGACGGACCAGACAGACCAGACAGACCAGACGGACCAGACGGACCAGACAGACCAGACGGACCAGACGGACCAGACGGACCAGACGGACCAGACGGACCAGACAGACCAGACGGACCAGACGGACCAGACGGACCAGACGGACCAGACGGACCAGACGGACCAGACGGACCAGACGGACCAGACGGACCAGACGGACCAGACGGACCAGACGGACCAGACGGACCAGACGGACCAGACGGACCAGACGGACCAGACGGACCAGACGGACCAGACGGACCAGACGGACCAGACGGACCAGACGGACCAGACGGACCAGACGGACCAGACGGACCAGACGGACCAGACGGACCAGACGGACCAGACGGACCAGACAGACCAGACAGACCAGACAGACCAGACAGACCAGGATCACCAGACAGACCAGGATCACCAGACAGACCAGACAGACCAGGATCACCAGACAGACCAGGATCACCAGACAGACCAGACAGACCAGGATCACCAGACAGACCAGACAGACCAGGATCACCAGACAGACCAGGACCATAAGCAGTGTTGTGCGTGAACGAGTTCAAAAGAACGCGTTCATTGAACACGCTCATTTTTTTGTGAACGTTGAACTGAACGCAACACATTTTTAAAAAAGAACTTGAACGTGAATTAGTTCATTTTATGTGTCATGAACGGCAGACATCACTATGAACGTTGGAATCTGTTTTCTCTTTTAAAACGCAACGAGAGAAAGTTCCTCCCTCCTGTATTCTCGCACTTTTTCCGCCAAAATCTAAAAATTCCCACGGTTTCCACCGTCTGTGAACGCACCCTGACTCTGTGTTGCGGTGCGGCGCTGTGAGCTGGTGCTTTTCACATGTGCCCGAGTCGTGATGAAAACACAGCACTGCAGCACATTACTGTCTGTAGTTTATGAGCATAAAGTACAGACACAGCACTGCAGCGCATTACTGTCTGTAGTTTATGAGCATAAAGTACAGACACAGCACTGCAGCGCATTACTGTCTGTAGTTTATGAGCATAAAGTACAGACACAGCACTGCAGCACATTACTGTCTGTAGTTTATGAGCATAAAGTACAGACACAGCACTGCAGCGCATTACTGTCTGTAGTTTATGAGCATAAAGTACAGACACAGCACTGCAGCGCATTACTGTCTGTAGTTTATGAGCATAAAGTACAGACACAGCACTGCAGCACATTACTGTCTGTAGTTTATGAGCATAAAGTACAGACACAGCACTGCAGCGCATTACTGTCTGTAGTTTATGAGCATAAAGTACAGACACAGCACTGCAGCGCATTACTGTCTGTAGTTTATGAGCATAAAGTACAGACACAGCACTGCAGCACATTACTGTCTGTAGTTTATGAGCATAAAGTACAGACACAGCACTGCAGCGCATTACTGTCTGTAGTTTATGAGCATAAAGTACAGACACAGCACTGCAGCGCATTACTGTCTGTAGTTTATGAGCATAAAGTACAGACACAGCACTGCAGCGCATTACTGTCTGTAGTTTATGAGCATAAAGTACAGACACAGCACTGCAGCGCATTACTGTCTGTAGTTTATGAGCATAAAGTACAGACACAGCACTGCAGCGCATTACTGTCTGTAGTTTATGAGCATAAAGTACAGACACAGCACTGCAGCGCATTACTGTCTGTAGTTTATGAGCATAAAGTACAGACACAGCACTGCAGCGCATTACTGTCTGTAGTTTATGAGCATAAAGTACAGACACAGCACTGCAGCGCATTACTGTCTGTAGTTTATGAGCATAAAGTACAGACACAGCACTGCAGCGCATTACTGTCTGTAGTTTATGAGCATAAAGTACAGACACAGCACTGCAGCGCATTACTGTCTGTAGTTTATGAGCATAAAGTACAGACACAGCACTGCAGCGCATTACTGTCTGTAGTTTATGAGCATAAAGTACAGACACAGCACTGCAGCGCATTACTGTCTGTAGTTTATGAGCATAAAGTACAGACACAGCACTGCAGCGCATTACTGTCTGTAGTTTATGAGCATAAAGTACAGACACACGCACTGCAGCGCATTACTGTCTGTAGTTTATGAGCATAAAGTACAGACACAGCACTGCAGCGCATTACTGTCTGTAGTTTATGAGCATAAAGTACAGACACAGCACTGCAGCGCATTACTGTCTGTAGTTTATGAGCATAAAGTACAGACACACGCACTGCAGCGCATTACTGTCTGTAGTTTATGAGCATAAAGTACAGACACAGCACTGCAGCGCATTACTGTCTGTAGTTTATGAGCATAAAGTACAGACACAGCACTGCAGCGCATTACTGTCTGTAGTTTATGAGCATAAAGTACAGACACACGCACTGCAGCGCATTACTGTCTGTAGTTTATGAGCATAAAGTACAGACACAGCACTGCAGCGCATTACTGTCTGTAGTTTATGAGCATAAAGTACAGACACAGCACTGCAGCACATTACTGTCTGTAGTTTATGAGCATAAAGTACAGACACACGCACTGCAGCGCATTACTGTCTGTAGTTTATGAGCATAAAGTACAGACACAGCACTGCAGCGCATTACTGTCTGTAGTTTATGAGCATAAAGTACAGACACAGCACTGCAGCGCATTACTGTCTGTAGTTTATGAGCATAAAGTACAGACACAGCACTGCAGCACATTACTGTCTGTAGTTTATGAGCATAAAGTATAGAAACAGCACTGCAGCGCATTACTGTCTGTAGTTTATGAGCATAAAGTACAGACACAGCACTGCAGCGCATTACTGTCTGTAGTTTATGAGCATAAAGTACAGACACAGCACTGCAGCGCATTACTGTCTGTAGTTTATGAGCATAAAGTATAGACACAGCACTGCAGCGCATTACTGTCTGTAGTTTATGATCATAAAGTACAGACACAGCACTGCAGCGCATTACTGTCTGTAGTTTATGAGCATAAAGTACAGACACAGCACTGCAGCACATTACTGTCTGTAGTTTATGAGCATAAAGTACAGACACAGCACTGCAGCGCATTACTGTCTGTAGTTTATGAGCATAAAGTACAGACACAGCACTGCAGCGCATTACTGTCTGTAGTTTATGAGCATAAAGTACAGACACACGCACTGCAGCGCATTACTGTCTGTAGTTTATGAGCATAAAGTACAGACACAGCACTGCAGCACATTACTGTCTGTAGTTTATGAGCATAAAGTACAGACACAGCACTGCAGCGCATTACTGTCTGTAGTTTATGAGCATAAAGTACAGACACAGCACTGCAGCGCATTACTGTCTGTAGTTTATGAGCATAAAGTACAGACACAGCACTGCAGCGCATTACTGTCTGTAGTTTATGAGCATAAAGTACAGACACAGCACTGCAGCGCATTACTGTCTGTAGTTTATGAGCATAAAGTACAGACACAGCACTGCAGCGCATTACTGTCTGTAGTTTATGAGCATAAAGTACAGACACAGCACTGCAGCGCATTACTGTCTGTAGTTTATGAGCATAAAGTACAGACACAGCACTGCAGCGCATTACTGTCTGTAGTTTATGAGCATAAAGTACAGACACACGCACTGCAGCGCATTACTGTCTGTAGTTTATGAGCATAAAGTACAGACACAGCACTGCAGCGCGCATTACTGTCTGTAGTTTATGAGCATAAAGTACAGACACAGCACTGCAGCGCATTACTGTCTTTAGTTTATGAGCATAAAGTACAGACACAGCACTGCAGCGCATTACTGTCTGTAGTTTATGAGCATAAAGTACAGACACAGCACTGCAGCGCATTACTGTCTGTAGTTTATGAGCATAAAGTACAGACACAGCACTGCAGCGCATTACTGTCTGTAGTTTATGAGCATAAAGTACAGACACAGCACTGCAGCGCATTACTGTCTGTAGTTTATGAGCATAAAGTACAGACACAGCACTGCAGCACATTACTGTCTTTAGTTTATGAGCAGAGATGGAGCAACTCCGTTTGGCTCCCATTGAAAACCATGTAAATCTGGTCTGTTTGTAGTCAAAAGGCTCTCCTCCTGTGGGTGTACAGGAGATATATTTAAAAAAATTATATAGCTCGTAGTGTGAAAAAAAGTATTTATTTGACTTTCACGAAAAAAGTAAAATGAACTGAACGTTGAACTAGTTCAGAATTAAAAATGTGAACTTTGAACGTGAACTGTTCACTTTGAGCATGTATGAACTGAACTTGAACTAGTTCAGAAAAGCTGTGAACTGGAACAACACTGATGCTAAAACAGACCAGGAGACCCAGACAGACCAGACCAGACCAGACCACAAAACACATCCTACCTCCAGACCAGACCAGACCAGACCAGATCAGACCAGACCAGACCAGACCAGACCAGACCCAGACCCAGACCAGACCAGACCACAAAACACATCCTACCTCCAGACCAGACCAGACCAGACCAGACCAGACCAGACCAGACCACAAAACACATCCTACCTCCAGACCAGACCAGACCAGACCAGACCATACCAGACCAGACCAGACCAGACCAGACCAGACCACAAAACACATCCTACCTCCAGACCAGACCAGACCAGACCAGATCAGACCAGACCAGACCAGACCAGACCAGACCAGACCACAAAACACATCCTACCTCCAGACCAGACCAGACCAGACCAGACCATACCAGACCAGACCAGACCAGACCAGACCACAAAACACATCCTACCTCCAGACCAGACCAGACCAGACCAGATCAGACCAGACCAGACCAGACCAGACCAGACCAGACCACAAAACACATCCTACCTCCAGACCAGACCAGACCAGACCAGACCATACCAGACCAGACCAGACCAGACCAGACCAGACCAGACCAGACCAGACCAGACCACAAAACACATCCTACCTCCAGACCAGACCAGACCAGACCAGACCAGACCACAACACACATCCTACCTCCAGACCAGACCATACCAGACCAGACCAGACCAGACCATACCAGACCAGACCAGACCAGACAGACCAGACCAGACCAGACCAGACCAGACCAGACCATACCAGACCAGACCAGACCAGACAGACCAGACCAGACCAGACCACAACACACATCCTACCTCCAGACCAGACCAGACCAGACCAGACCAGACCATACCAGACCAGACCAGACCAGACAGACCAGACCAGACCAGACCACAACACACATCCTACCTCCAGACCAGACCAGACCAGACCAGACCACAAAACACATCCTACCTCCAGACCAGACCAGACCAGACCAGACCAGACCACAACACACATCCTACCTCCAGACCAGACCATACCAGACCAGACCAGACCAGACCAGACCAGACCACAACACACATCCTACCTCCAGACCAGACCAGACCAGACCAGACCAGACCAGACCAGACCACAACACACATCCTACCTCCAGACCAGACCATACCAGACCAGACCAGACCAGACAGACCAGACCAGACCAGACCACAACACACATCCTACCTCCAGACCAGACCAGACCAGACCAGACCACAAAACACATCCTACCTCCAGACCAGACCAGACCAGACCAGACCAGACCACAACACACATCCTACCTCCAGACCAGACCATACCAGACCAGACCAGACCAGACAGACCAGACCAGACCAGACCACAACACACATCCTACCTCCAGACCAGACCAGACCACAACACACATCCTACCTCCAGACCAGACCAGACCAGACCAGACCAGACCAGACCAGACCAGACCACAACACACATCCTACCTCCAGACCAGACCATACCAGACCAGACCAGACCAGACCAGACCAGACCACAACACACATCCTACCTCCAGACCAGACCATACCAGACCAGACCAGACCCAGACCAGACCAGACCAGACCAGACCACAACACACATCCTACCTCCAGACCAGACCAGACCAGACCAGACCAGACCAGACCAGACCACAACACACATCCTACCTCCAGACCAGACCATACCAGACCAGACCAGACCAGACAGACCAGACCAGACCAGACCACAACACAACATCCTACCTCCAGACCAGACCAGACCAGACCAGATCAGACCAGACCAGACCAGACCAGACCAGACCAGACCACAAAAACACATCCTACCTCCAGACCAGACCAGACCAGACCAGACCATACCAGACCAGACCAGACCAGACCAGACCACAAAACACATCCTACCTCCAGACCAGACCAGACCAGACCAGATCAGACCAGACCAGACCAGACCAGACCAGACCAGACCACAAAACACATCCTACCTCCAGACCAGACCAGACCAGACCAGACCATACCAGACCAGACCAGACCAGACCAGACCAGACCAGACCAGACCAGACCAGACCACAAAACACATCCTACCTCCAGACCAGACCAGACCAGACCAGACCAGACCAGACCAGACCACAACACACATCCTACCTCCAGACCAGACCATACCAGACCAGACCAGACCATACCAGACCAGACCAGACCAGACAGACCAGACCAGACCAGACCAGACCAGACCATACCAGACCAGACCAGACCAGACAGACCAGACCAGACCAGACCACAACACACATCCTACCTCCAGACCAGACCAGACCAGACCAGACCAGACCAGACCATACCAGACCAGACCAGACAGACCAGACAGACCAGACCAGACCAGACCACAACACACATCCTACCTCCAGACCAGACCAGACCAGACCAGACCACAAAACACATCCTACCTCCAGACCAGACCAGACCAGACCAGACCAGACCAGACCAGACCACAACACACATCCTACCTCCAGACCAGACCATACCAGACCAACCAGACCAGACCAGACCAGACCAGACACAACACACATCCTACCTCCAGACCAGACCAGACCAGACCAGACCAGACCAGACCACAACACACATCCTACCTCCAGACCAGACCATACCAGACCAGACCAGACCAGACAGACCAGACCAGACCAGACCACAACACACATCCTACCTCCAGACCAGACCAGACCAGACCAGACCACAAAACACATCCTACCTCCAGACCAGACCAGACCAGACCAGACCAGACCACAACACACATCCTACCTCCAGACCAGACCCATACCAGACCAGACCAGACCAGACAGACCAGACCAGACCAGACCACAACACACATCCTACCTCCAGACCAGACCAGACCACAACACACATCCTACCTCCAGACCAGACCAGACCAGACCAGACCAGACCAGACCAGACCACAACACACATCCTACCTCCAGACCAGACCATACCAGACCAGACCAGACCAGACCAGACCAGACCACAACACACATCCTACCTCCAGACCAGACCATACCAGACCAGACCAGACCAGACCAGACCAGACCACAACACACATCCTACCTCCAGACCAGACCAGACCAGACCAGACCAGACCAGACCAGACCACAACACACATCCTACCTCCAGACCAGACCATACCAGACCAGACCAGACCAGACAGACCAGACCAGACCAGACCACAACACACATCCTACCTCCAGACCAGACCATACCAGACCAGACCAGACCAGACCAGACCAGACCATACCAGACCAGACCAGACCAGACAGACCAGACCAGACCAGACCACAACACACATCCTACCTCCAGACCAGACCAGACCAGACCAGACCACAAAACACATCCTACCTCCAGACCAGACCAGACCAGACCAGACCAGACCAGACCAGACCAGACCACAACACACATCCTACCTCCAGACCAGACCATACCAGACCAGACCAGACCAGACAGACCAGACCAGACCAGACCACAACACACATCCTACCTCCAGACCAGACCAGACCAGACCAGACCAGACCACAACACACATCCTACCTCCAGACCAGACCAGACCAGACCACAATGCGTTAAAACAGCCCAAAACAAATCTACACTGTTAAAGTCACAAATGGGCGTCCCTCAGGGCTCCATAATGGGACCCTTGCTTTTCAGTCTATTCAATAATGAAAGAGACAGACCAGCAAAAGAGACACCAGAAGTTCATTTATACAGAGACAGACCAGCAACAGAGACACCAGAAGTTCATTTATACAGAGACAGACCAGCAACAGAGACACCAGAAGTTCATTTATACAGAGACATACCAGCAACAGAGACCCCAGAAGTTTCTCTCTGGTCTCTCTCTCTCTGGTCTCTCTCTCGCTGGTCTCTCTCGCTGGTCTCTCTCTCTGGTCTCTCTCGCTGGTCTCTCTCTCGCTGGTCTCTCTCTCTGGTCTCTCTCTGTGGTCTCTCTTGCTGGTCTCTCTCTGGTCTCCCTCTCTGGTCTCTCTCTGGTCTCTCTCTCTGGTTTCTCTCTCTGGTCTCTCTCTCTGGTCTCTCTCTCTGGTCTCTTTTCTCCTCCCTCTCTTTGGTCTCCCTCTCTTTGGTCTCCCTCTCTTTGGTCTCCCTCTCTGTCTCCCTCTCTTTGGTCTCCCTCTCTTTGGTCTCCCTCTCTTTGGTCTCCCTCTCTTTGGTCTCCCTCTCTTTGGTCTCCCTCTCTTTGGTCTCCCTCTCTTTGGTCTCCCTCTCTGGTCTCCCTCTCTTTGGTCTCCCTCTCTTTGGTCTCCCTCTCTTTGGTCTCCCTCTCTTTGGTCTCCCTCTCTGGTCTCCCTCTCTTTGGTCTCCCGCTCTTTGGTCTCTCTCTCTGGTCTCTCTCTCTGGTCTCTCTCTCTGGTCTCTCTCTTTGGTCTCTCTCTTTGGTCTCCCTCTCTCTGGTCTCCCTCTCTCTGGTCTCCCTCTCTTTGGTCTCCCTCTCTCTGGTCTCCCTCTCTTTGGTCTCCCTCTCTTTGGTCTCCCTCTCTTTGGTCTCCCTCTCTTTGGTCTCCCTCTCTTTGGTCTCCCTCTCTTTGGTCTCCCTCTCTGGTCTCCCTCTCTTTGGTCTCCCTCTCTTTGGTCTCCCTCTCTTTGGTCTCCCTCTCTTTGGTCTCCCTCTCTTTGGTCTCCCTCTCTCTGGTCTCCCTCTCTTTGGTCTCCCTCTCTTTGGTCTCCCTCTCTTTGGTCTCCCTCTCTTTGGTCTCCCTCTCTTTGGTCTCCCTCTCTTTGGTCTCCCTCTCTCTGGTCTCCCTCTCTGGTCTCCCTCTCTTTGGTCTCCCTCTCTTTGGTCTCCCTCTCTGGTCTCCCTCTCTGGTCTCCCTCTCTTTGGTCTCCCTCTCTTTGGTCTCCCTCTCTGGTCTCCCTCTCTTTGGTCTCCCTCTCTTTGGTCTCCCTCTCTTTGGTCTCCCTCTCTCTGGTCTCCCTCTCTTTGGTCTCCCTCTCTTTGGTCTCCCTCTCTTTGGTCTCCCTCTCTTTGGTCTCCCTCTCTTTGGTCTCCCTCTCTTTGGTCTCCCTCTCTTTGGTCTCCCTCTCTCTGGTCTCCCTCTCTTTGGTCTCCCTCTCTTTGGTCTCCCTCTCTTTGGTCTCCCTCTCTTTGGTCTCCCTCTCTTTGGTCTCCCTCTCTCTGGTCTCCCTCTCTGGTCTCCCTCTCTTTGGTCTCCCTCTCTTTGGTCTCCCTCTCTGGTCTCCCTCTCTGGTCTCCCTCTCTTTGGTCTCCCTCTCTTTGGTCTCCCTCTCTTTGGTCTCCCTCTCTGGTCTCCCTCTCTTTGGTCTCCCTCTCTTTGGTCTCCCTCTCTCTGGTCTCCCTCTCTTTGGTCTCCCTCTCTTTGGTCTCCCTCTCTTTGGTCTCCCCCTCTCTGGTCTCCCTCTCTCTGGTCTCCCTCTCTTTGGTCTCCCTCTCTTTGGTCTCCCTCTCTTTGGTCTCCCTCTCTCTGGTCTCCCTCTCTTTGGTCTCCCTCTCTTTGGTCTCCCTCTCTGGTCTCTCCCTCTGGTCTCTCCCTCTGGTCTTTTGACACTGGTACCTGGGTGCTGGAGGCGAGCTGGGCCTGGGTACCAGATGTGGCCTGGGTGGAGGAGGTGGTGGAGGAGGCCTGTACTGAGCTCCTCTGTGTCCCAGACGAGGTGCGGGCCATGGGGGTGGACTTGGTGCTGGCCGAGGTCTGGGAGTACAGGTTTCTGGTGAATGAGCCCCCAGACCCGGACCCGGACGTGCGGCTAATGGTCTCCTTGATGGAGCCAGGAGACAGGCTCAGGCTGAGGAAGCAGGACACAGGGTTAGAGCTGAGGTCTACAGTCATGAGGGTGCATCGCCTGTGCATCAGGCTAACTTAGCTATTTACCAATTCATGGACCCAACACCAATAAACGCTTTTATAAACAATGAGGAAGTGAGAAAAGGAAAAAAAAGGCTAAAGCTCAAAAGGAATTTTGTGAAAACTGGTCCAAGTGTGTAACACCATTCATATCGCACATTTCACAGACCAAGGCCACATAAATCCCTTCTATTCTGGCAATAAACAAGCTCTGTAACGACTAAAATGTTGAGACAAGTCCATAAACTCTGCTATGTACGGAATAATGTATAGATCACAAGTCATTATCGGAAAATAAGAACCGACAGGGCAGAATCAGACCCCGACGGCTATTTGTAAACTGAACACACAAAATAAACTTCAGTCCATTTTTTTAATCTCGAACGGCTCTTTGATGACTGCAAAAAAAATAAATCCCACACTAGCCCGGCTCAGCGAGTAACAGCTGGGATAGCTACTGATTAAACTGGATGTTCCCGTTGAAGGACTCTCTCAAACTGCATGAAAACTGAACAAAGAATTCTGAACATCAGCGATGAGAGACCCAAATATGTACTCAATCAAAATCAATAATCAGATCCTCTGCAAATGCATATTGTGTTGATGTTTACTTCCCTATAATAAACAGAGATATACAGTGCCTTGCGAAAGTATTCGGCCTCCTTGAACCTTTCAACATTTCGCCACATTTCAAGCTTCAGACATATAGATATAACATTTACATTTTTTGTCATGAATCAACAACAAGTGGGACACAATCGTGAAGTAAACGAAATGTATTGGATAATTTAATCTTTTTTAACAAATAAAAAACTGAAAAGTGGGGCGTGCAATATTATTCGGCCCCTTTACTTTCAGTGCAGCAAACTCAGTCCAGAAGTTCAGTGAGGATCTTTGAATGATCCAATGTTGTCCTAAATGACTGATGATGATAAATAGAATGCACCTGTGTGTAATCAAGTCTCCGTATAAATGCACCTGCTCTTTGATAGTCTCAGGGTTCTGTTTAAAGCGCAGAGAGAACCATGAAGACAAAGGAACACACCAGGCAGGTCCGAGATACTGTTGTGGAGAAGTTTAAAGCCGGATTTGGATACAAAAAGATTTCCCAAGCTTTAAACATCTCAAGGAGCACTGTGCAAGCAATTATATTGAAATGGAAGGAGTATCAGACCACTGCAAATCTACCAAGACCCGGCCGTCCCTCCAAACTTTCATCTCAAACAAGGAGAAGACTGATCAGAGATGCAGACAATGGAATGGTTCACAAATAGACGTATCCAGGTGTTAGAATGGCCAAGTCAAAGTCCAGACCTGAATCCAATCGAGAATCTGTGGAAAGAGCTGAAGACTGCTGTTCACAAACGCTCTCCATCCAACCTCACTGAGCTCGAGCTGTTTTTCAAGGAAGAATGGGCAAGAATTCCAGTCTCTCGATGTGCAAAACTGATAGAGACATACCCCAAGCGACTTGCAGCTGTAATTGCAGCAAAAGGTGGCGCTACAAAGTATTAGCGCAAGGGGGCCGAATAATATTGCACGCCCCACTTTTCAGTTTATTTGTTAAAAAAGTTTAAATTATCCAATAAATTTTGTTCCACTTCACGATTGTGTCCCACTTGTTGTTGATTCTTGGCAAAAAATGAAATTTTTATATCTTTATGTTTGAAACCTGAAATGTAGCAAAATGTTACTTTCGCAAGGCACTGTACTTTAAGCGTGTGCGCCTCCTCTCCCTGTGTGCGCCTCCTCTCCTTGTGTGCGCCTCCTCTCCTTGTGTGCGCCTCCTCTCCCTGTGTGTGCCTCCTCTCCTTGTGTGCGCCTCCTCTCCTTGTGTGCGCCTCCTCTCCCTGTGTGCGCCTCCTCTCCCTGTGTGCGCCTCCTCTCCCCGTGTGTGGGCCGTGCTCACCGCTTCTCCTCGCCCTCCAGCAGCTTGCGGTAGGCGTTGATCTCCATGTCCAGAGCGAGCTTGATGTCCAGCAGCTCCTGGTACTCGTCCAGCTGCTGCTGCATGCGCGCTGTCAACTCCATCATCTGCCGCTCCTTCTCCTCCAGGCGTCTGCGCATCGTGTCGCGCTCACGGCTCAGACAGTCCTCCAGCCCTCGTGCACGCGCCTCCGACTCCGAGAGCTGTGCACAGAGGGAGCCACAGAGTTAGGTCAGACAGGGTCGATACTCTGCTTCAGTTTAAAACACATTTGGACCAACAACAATCCCAGAGAAATCCACAGTTAAACATCAAATGAACAGGTTTCCTCAAAAGAAAAAGAAGAACAAGGAATTACAACAAGAGCTGAGATTATAGGCTCGACAGGACCCAATGGGACCTGACGGGTTCAGGTCTAATTTGTGTGATGTCACTCAGGTCAGGGTCGGGTATGAGCGGCAATTGAGCGTGAATGTGATTCTTTGCTCTGGAAATTTAAAACGGCCGCACAAATAAAGACTTGTAGCTTCCCATTTCTGCAGCAGGCTCAGCTGGCTGGACACACAAACACACACAAACATAAACACAAACAAACACTGACATACACATACACACACACACACAAAAACACAAACAAACACTGACATACACATACACACATACACACACACACACAAAAACACAAACAAACACTGACATACACATACACACATACACACACACACACACAAAAACACAAACAAACACTGACATACACATACACACACACACACACCTGTTTCTGCAGCTGGCTCAGCTGGCCGGACATCCCCTCTAGTCTGACTCGGGTCTGGGTCAGCTCCTCCTGCGCTGCTCCCACCAGGTGACTGTTCCTGTTCGCCGAGTCCCTCATGTTCTCCATCTGCAGACACACACACACACGCACACACACACACACGCACACAGGGTTACACATCGACACAAACAGACACACACAGGTCTGGTAGAGTCTGGTCTATTTTGCCACAAACCTTTGCCTATACAGTGCATCCTCTCCATTTCCTCCTTGTACAAACATTAAAACCGTGCTGAGGTCACAGTCTGATCCGGTCCAGTCTGGTCTTGTTTGTTAGGTCATGGTCTGGTCCTGTCTGGCACTAACCTTGGCAGTGTAAGTCCTCTCCACCTCCTCCTTGTGCATGTGGACCTGCTCCTTGTGCTGGGCTCTCGGTCTGGTCAGTCAGGGTAGGGTCTGGTCTGGTCTGGTCTGGTCTGGCACTAACCTTGGCAGTGTAAGTCCTCTCCACCTCCTCCTTGTACATGCGGACCTGCTCCTCGTGCTGGGCTCTCAGATCGGCCAGAGCCTCTTGAAGTTTGGACTCAAAGTCTCTCTGTCGACTGCCGTCCACCTCCATCACACGAGACTGGTGACGCGAGAAGCTCTCCCTCTGCTCCTGCAGCAAAGAACCACAAGAATCAGGTCTAAACTTCTGCTCCTGAAGACAAGGACCACAAGAACCAGGTCTAAACTTCTGCTCCAGAAGACAAGGACCACAAGAACCAGGTCTAAACTTCTAATTTACCACCTCTGCTCCTGCAAAAAGAACTATAGAGCGGCCTGTTTATTATCAGATAACCAAACTTCTTCCCATCAGGCCAATATGCTACCATTACATGTTGTACCTCATTTCAAAAGGAAAACAACCAAACCATTTATTTTATTCCAAAACAATCCAGAAATGTAGTTGGTAATGATTAATTGAAAAAATGCATTATGTAAATCAGTTGATGGTACTGAGCCATCTTGACCTTACACATACTAAGAGTGGGCGGACGAAGCGCTGATGTCACCAGTTAGGTTAGGGTTGTATTTGCATCTGTCCTTTCCCCTTCACTGGGGGCCACCACTGCCTTTTGTCTACCCCCTCAACTGACCAATCAAGTGTGACCTGGTATATAATTAGGAGGCAGCTCACTGCTAGCCCTGTCTGGGTGCCTACCTACCTGCCCGGAACACCTCCCCAGGGAGGCGTCCAGGAGGCATCCTGAACAGATGCCCGAGCCACCTCAACTGGTTCCTCTCGACGAGGAGAAGCAGCGGCTCTACTCCGAGCTCCTCCCGTGTGACCGAGCTCCTCACCCTATCTCTAAGGGAGCGCCCAGCCACTCTGCGGAGGAAGCTCATTTCGACCGCTTGTATCCGCGATCTCGTTCTTTCGGTCATTACCCAAAGCTCATGACCATAGGTGAGGGAGGGAACGAAGATTGACCGGTAAATCGAGAGCTTTGCCTTTCGGCTCAGCTCCCTCTTTACCACAACGGTCCGATACAGCGACCGCATCACTGCGCACGCTGCACCGATCCGCCTGTCAATCTCACGCTCCATCCTTCCCTCACTCGTGAACAAGACCCCGAGATACTTGAACTCCTCCACTTGAGCCAACAGGACAACATTGTCCGCAAAAAGCAAAGATAAAATCCTGTGGTCTCCAAACCGGACCCCCTCCGACCTCTGGCTGCACCTAGAAATTCTGTCCATAAATACAGTGAACAGAACCTGTGACAAAGGGCAGCCTTGGCGGAGGCCAACACTCACCGGGAACAGGTCTGACTTACTGCCGGCAATGCGAACACAGCTCTGGCTCCGGTTAAACACGGACCGGACGGCCCTCAGCAGAGGACCCCGGACACCGCACTCCCGGAGAACCCCTCGGGGAACACGGTCGAACGCCTTCTCCAAATCCACAAAGCATATGTGGACAGGTTGGGCGAACTCCCATGAACCCTCGAGTATCCGATGGAGAGTATAGAGCTGGTCCAGTGTTCCGCGACCGGGACGAAAACCTCACTGCGCCTCCTGAATCCGAGGTTTGACCATTGGTCGAAATCTCCTCTCCAGTACCTTGGAGTAGACCTTACCGGGGAGGCTGAGGAGTGTGATCCCACAATAATTGGAACACACCCTGGGTGTGCAGCCAACTGTTTGCAAATATTGTTTTTAGCAACGGTCGAGTTATCAAAGCCAATAGGGAGTACCATCGATCTGTCCCTGCTCGTACTAATCAATTCTATTAAATTCAAATAACTTTATTTATCTGTGAGGAAATTCATTTAAAGACGGATCACCAGTGGTGATCCATATAAAACACAGAAATACAAGATATAAAGTACAATAAAAGTGCAGAAATCCAGTATAAAATACAAAAAACAGATCATTATCTGCTTCAGCTAAAACAGACCATCTCCGCCTGTTTTGTTTCAGCTTCCTGGCCACCTCAATCCGCCTTTAAAAGGCAGATAGAGGTGGGGAGGAAGCTGGATGTGGCCCTACTCATTGCTAAAGCCAAATTTGGTGACACTTGGTGGAGCTCATCTTAGGGCTCATAAATGGAATGACAAAGACAATATCACAGTTTAAACAACAGGATCACAGAGAGCGCTATACCACAGATTTTACAAGACCAAAACGGTTACCGAGTTCACTTTTCCATGCAAGTCAATAGGAGCCAGAGCGAGTTAGCATAGTCTATTTTATCTATACAGTATATGATGCCTCCACACTACACCTGTGTGCAATTAATGCACCTTTATGTAGGACAGATACCAGCGAGGGGGCGCCACACAGAGACAAGACCTTCTTGCTGTGCTAGAAGGTCACTGTGCAGTAGTTAGCGTCTCCAGCTCTAGAACTTTGAACAGAGGTCTTCATTTGGCTCTGGAGACAGCTCCTGGGCTTCTTCTCACCTCTTTGTAGATGTTCTTCTGGAACTCCAACTCTTCTCGAACCGTCTGCATACGGTTCTCTGCGTCCACTCTCCTCAACATTTCGTCCTGAAGCTGCTTCTTCACATCTGCCAGACTCGCCTCCAGCTGAGGAACACAAACACATAAACACACACATACACACACATACACACAGACACACACACACACACACACACACACACACACACACACATCATTACAGACTTCCATTTCTGTGATTTGAAAGTTACGTCCTCCAGCTTTAATCTCTCTCAGACACTGACCGTGGCGACCTGGGCCCTGAGCTCCAGGACCTCCCCCTCCAGCCCCCTCCTCTCCCCCAGCGCGGTGCTCAGAGACGCCTCTTTGGAGTGGAGCAGCGCCTCCAGCTCCTTCAGCCGGGCCAGAGCCGCCTCCAGATCAGACTCCTTCTTACTGTTCCTGAGCAGACACAAGAGGGCAGCAGAGAGTCAAGGAACCAGGTCTAAATCAGGACAAAAGCAGTACTGAAGCAGGACTAAAGCTGATCTAAACCAAGACTAAAGCAGGACTAAAGCAGGAATAAAGTAGGAATAAAGCAGGACTAAAACAGGACTAAACCAGGATAGACTGAAGCTGGACTGAAGCGGGACTGAACCAGCCCTAAAGATGAGAATCTGGTCTCACAGAGTCTTGTCTCTCTGACTGATGGAGCAGCTATTAACACAATCAAATGTTTCCTGTTGGACTAGAACAGAGAGAGACCAGAGAGAGACCAAAGAGATCAGAGGGAGAGACCAGGGACCAAAGAGAGACCAGAGACATGTCAGAGACAGACCAGAGACACAAGAGAGATGCCTAAGAGACCAGAGAGAGACAAGAAAGAGGGACCAGAGAGAGACAAGAGAGGCAGAGACTAGAGAAAGGGCAGAGAGGGTTTCCAGTGAGACCAGAAAGAGACCAGAGTGAGAGCAGAGACAGATGGGGCAGCTCTTAACACAATCACACATTTCCTGTTGGACTAATTATGAACACACAGTCCGTTTATGTTCCTCCAGTGTGGCCGACGCCTGTGCCACAGCTGCAGCCTCAGCTCTGAAAGGCAGTGTCCACCCCAGATGAGGGGGGGGTTAAGTTTTGCGTGTTGTTTGGACTGGTATCGGATATTGCAAAAAAATGTATAATAAAAAGGGTCAAAACAAACTTCAGACTTTCAGAATATATCGTCTAATGTACAAGTATGAGTACCCAGGAGAAGAGAGACCAGAGAGACACCAGAGAGAGACTAGAAAGAGACCAGAGACCAGAGAGAGACAAGAGAGACCAGAGAGAGACCAGAGAGAGACCAGAGAGAGACACCAGTGGGACAAGAGAGAGACACCAGTGGGACAAGAGATAGACCAGAGAGAGACAAAAGAGACCAGAGAGACCAGAGAGACCAGAAAGACCAGAAAGACCAGAGAGAGACCAGAGAGAGACCAGAGAGACCAGAGAGAAAAGAGAGACCAGAAAGACCAGAGAGAGACCAGAGAGAAAAGAGAGAAAAGAGAGACCAGAGAGACCAGAGAGAGACCAGAGAGAGACCAGAGAGAAAAGAGAGACCAGAGCTACACCAGACCAGATTGTTATCATAGACTGACCGGGCAAATTATTATGTTTGCATTTAACTTACTGCTAGTCGCTAGGGGTGGGCGATATGGGCCAAAATAAATGCGATGTTTTGCTTCCTAGGGCATCTATAGATCATAGATAGATGATCAAAATAGCAGGCTTTCTAGGCACACATTTGACGAATGGGCATCTTGCCTGCTCTAACTGTAATATGTATTGTATGTAATGCAAAAAAGCATATCTTCAAATTCACTTTTGCAATATTCTTGTCTACGATATATATCGGCCACCCCTACTAGTCACATTTTGGGTTCAATGCTAACAATAACATAAATGAGACATGCAAATTAGCTTTAAAATGAGGTATAACATAGCATGGTAGCACTCCACCTCTTTCCACCAATATCAATAATGCAGGACGACAGTGGCTCAGTTGGTAGAGCATTGACCTTTGAGCCTGAAGGTCATGGGTTCGAGCCCATCATAAGACCTACTTCACGGCTCCCACTGATGACTGCTGTCGTTGTGTCCTTCGGCAAGACACTTAACCCCACTTTGCCTGAAGCTCCCACTGAAAGATCTCAGCTCCTGTGGACTCACCACCTGCAGGAGAATCAGTGAGGGGCTGGTGCTCTGTGACTGGGTGCAGCTCTGACTGCCACCCCCCCGACCCAGAAATAGATTAAGGGGAAGAAAATGGATGGATGGACAATAATGCATCGGTTTTCTATAGCGCTTGCTTAGACACCCAAAGATGCTTCACATGTGATTATTCATTCACGCCTTAGATAGTGGTAATCAACAACTACTGTAGCCACAGCTACCCTGGAGCACACTGACAGAGGTGAGGCAACAAATGTGTGCCATTGTCCCCTCCCACCACCACCAAAAGGACACAATGACAATTTGACACTTTACAGCTGCAGCCGCCCCACTGTGGCACCTGGTGTTCCCGAGGTCTCCCATCACAACACTAACCAGGCCCAGGCCTGCTTAGCTTCAGAGGTCTGATAAGATCTGGCGTTCACCTGCTGCAATGTAACTAACAAATGAGCTTAGGGGACAAATTTGGACACTCCTGGCAAAGACAGAAGGGGCGGGTGGATGTGTAGAGGCAGATGTTCCTGATGCCAGCGTGGGCGAAGCTAAAGCATGTGTGCATTTGTGTGTGTGTTGTGAGTGTGTGTACTGTGTGTGTGTTGTGAGTGTGTGTCTGGAAACACAACTGTGAGCCTCTGAATGGAGCTTTGATGAAGTGATGACATCATAGATCAGAGCAACTGCAGCCTCAGCCACACACAGACTTTTCTCAATCGGTGATTCAAGGGGGGGGGAAAACATCCTCTGATCGCTGACTTGATGCTGAGACAAAAAGACAGACCAGAGGGATCAGTGAGAGACCAGGGAAAACATCCTCTGATGGCTAACTTGAGGTAGGGCCTGAGCTGAAACAGAGAGAGACCAAAGAGGGACCAGAAAGACCAGCGAGAGACAGGATGCTAGAGAGAGACCACATACAATCTGTTAGGGCTGGGCGATATAAACGGTATAAGCGGTATGCGATATATATTTGGCCAACGGTAGAGATTTTTGTTATACCGGCATATTGCAATACGTCATTATGTCATCAAATTGCGCAGGCTCTGACGCCAGCAGAAAGCACCAAAACAAACCGGCATTCAGCAGCATTAGCCTAGCACTATTAGCCTAGCAGCATTAGCCTAGCAGCATTAGCCTAGCAGACACCACTGGAAACAGCAAACAACAGCACGGCATTCACACCGTGTTTCTGTCTCTGTATTGTTGTCACAGCGGCTTCCTTTAGGCCAATCGTGTAGGCTCGATGATGCTGCCGTGTCCGCAGCGTCATCACAGCAGAAGTTTGGGAAAGTTAGCGTCAGATTTGGACTTCCGCGGTCAATAGCTCACGAAAGCTACTTTGTTAAACAAAATGAATTGTGCCAAAATTACCATTTACATCAATTGTTCAAATCCAATGCGCTGTTTTAATGAACATAAATCCATTGAATCATCCAGTTCACTGCAAGTGCAGAGAAAAGCGCTCAGGGAGCGTCAACAAATGGAAAGACCAGCTTTGTAAACGAACAATAGCTTTTACTGAAGCCATGTACCTGCACAAAACTCTCAGACACTATAAATAATGACCATGTCTAGCTGCTACAGGCTTTGATTTCAACATTTGTGAGTGTTTTAAATATTTTAAATGAATACATATGTCTTTCTTTTTTATTTGCTTTTACAGTAAATGGTCTTTACTGTAACATACATAAATAATATATGTTACAGCATTTGTCTCACAACTATACTACAAATATATATACTAGATTATAATATATAAATAAGTAACAATCTTGACTATTTTATGCAAGAACCTGCTAGACCTACATTGAAATTCACACACCTAATTATACCGCAATATGAATTTTAGGCCATATCGCCCACCCCTACAATCTGTGATACAAGGATGATTTTTGATAGTGATTGCTAATTTGATATGCTGTCTGAGCAGAGCCTGCAGGGCCTCTGATGTTCCTCTTTTACCTGGGCAATTACAGAAATCCTCAAATCAGAAGTTGAAGGTCAGACTCTGAAACTATGATTAGAACAGAACAGTTCTGAGGCGAGAGACAGAGAGGAATGTTCATAAACGAGTGATCCAAGTCCCCACACTGTGTTTAAACCAGCACATACAGACTGGAGTGTGTGTGTTTATGCGAGTGTGTGATGTCTGTGTGTGTGTCCGTGCGTGTCAGAATGTGTGTGTGCGCGTGTGTGTGTGCATGGATGTAAGTGTAGGTGTGGTGTGTCTGTGTGTGCTGTATATGTATGAGTGAGTGAGTGTGTGTGCATGTGTGTGTGTATACATGGATTTTTTGTGCGCATTTGTGTGCATGCTTATGTGTGTGTGTGTGTGTGTGTGTGCATATGGGGCTTTTCATTCAACAGTTAGTGATTCAGAATAAACACATATTCAAAACGCATGCAGCTGCTCCCGGCTGGTCTGGACCAGTCTGGCCCGGTTTAGACCAGTCTACTCTAGACCAGTCCAGACTGGAGTGATCAAACCAAACGACATGTGGCAGAAATAAACTATGAAAAGTGTTTGGATCTGCTCCTTATACGGACTGCGGTCGCCATGAGAACGAAGATTTGTGAAGATTCTTCCAAACAGACTAAAGTTCAGTTCAAACCTCACAGATTTGCAATTCTCTTAAAGCTGAGGTACGTAACTTTAATAACACAACTTTAGAATTCTGTCAGTTTTAATAAAGTTTGTTACTATCACCAGAGAGAGACCTTAGACAGTCCAGAAAGACCAGAGAGAGACCAGAGAGACCAGAGAGAGACCAGAGAGACCAGAGAGACCAGAGAGAGACAAGTGAGAGAGACCAGAGAGAGACTAGAAAGAGACCAGAGAGAGACCAGAGAGAGAGTAGAAAGAGACCAGAAAGGGACCAGAGAGGGACCAGAGAGAGACTAGAAAGAGACTAGAAAGAGACCAGAGAGGGGCCAGAGAGAGACTAGAAAGAGACCAGAGAGAGACTAGAAAGAGACCAGAGAGAGACGAGAAAGAGACCAGAGAGACCAGAGAGACCAGAAAGAGACCAGAAAGAGACCAGAAAGAGACCAGGGAGAGACCAGGGAGAGACTAGAAAGAGACCAAAGAGGGACCAGAGAGAGACAAGAGAGAGACAAGAGAGAGACCAGAGAGAGACCAGAGAGAGACCAGAGAGAGACCAGAGAGAGACCAGAGAGAGACCAGAGAGAGACCAGAGAGAGACAAGAGAGAGACCAGGAAGAGACCAGAGAGAGAATAGAGAAAAGGTCCA